TTGAGTTGCTCTAACAGAATACCCAAGGCTGGGAAATTGATAAAGAAAGGAGATTTATTGAGCTTGTGGTTCCACAGGCTGGCAAGTTCAAGAAGCACAGTGCCTCCATCTGCCGACTTCTGGGGAGGGCTTCAGTGCTGGGTCAAAACGTGGCAGAGAAGGCTGAGGGGGAAGGAGACACCTGCAGGGAGGCGGAGCCTGAGCTGCTGCCTGCTTTGTCACAACCCACTTTCTCTCTCAGAAACTGGTCCAGCCAGGCCATTAGAGAGAGAGAGAACTCGCTGAGGATCAAGAGAAGAGCAGCCAGCCATGCCCGGGGAGTGCCCCCAACACCAGGCCCCTCCTCCCAACACTGCCACTTTGAGTACCAAATCTCAGCTGAGTTTTGGTGGAGACAAAGAATAGCCAAACCACTCCCCCAAGGTACAGTGAGGTTGCAAACCCACACTGACTTAACCGGAATATCTGTTATTACAAATGGCCAGAATGGGGGCTGGGCTAAAAAGAGAAGAAAGTGTCAGAACAACTTGCCTTGTTACTAGAAAATTAGAGTTCATGTCCTCCCCATGGTGGTCCATTATAGGATAGAGCCCCATTACTGATCTAGATAATTCAATCATGAAAAAGATAACCTCAGCTAATAAGCATACTAATGAGCAAATTCACAGTTAGAAAAACAATTCTTACTTTCAGTCAAGCAACAAGTCTCTCCCTACATCTTTGGATGGCATGTAGCCTACAGTTAAAATTTCATTTTCAGATTTCTCATTTTTTTTCCAGTCAATTCTCTGATACCTCTTCTTCTCCTGCTTGTACAACTCAACTCCGTATACAAGATTCTTTTCCCAAAGGTATTTGACAAAGATAGAAACAAATGTGATATTGACTATTAATTTAAATACAATGGTATTTTGGCATTTCTAAACAGATGTTGATTTGGATTAATTTTCTTCTATTCACTCATATTACATCTTTTATGGATTAGTTTCAAGATAAAAAGTGATGTTATGAATCACCTTGAATTTTTTTTTATGAGAATGTGTTTGCATAGGCAGTGCTTTTTTAAGACTTCAAAAATCTGAGAATGTTTGCTGAATGTCAAAAATAAACTCACCCTGAACATCACTGGTGAAGGATAAGACTTGAAATGCTGCCTTCCTGGCCAGTGAGGTGAAGTTCAAGTGTACTTTTTAAATTAGTACTGTTAAAGATTCAAAAGCATAAAAACATGACACTCATTCAAATATAGAATATGTACAGATCAAAGATGTATTTAATTCATTAATGAAGAATCAGAAGGATGGTAAAAGCTCAAAGAAGATTCATGAGACCGAGTATACAGGGGAATTCAAGGAAGAATGTTGGAATAGTATTATTACTAGGTGAATATACAAGAAGTAATGTCTAAAAGGGCATTAATCCATAACCTTTGATGAAATATTTTCTACCAGACAGAAGTTATTTGCATCTCTCCTGGGCAAAAGTCTACAAATTAACATGTAGTGGAATAAATAGTAAAATAAGAATTTATTTTTATTTATTTTTTAATTTATTGTTGGGGATTCATTGAGGGTACAAGAAACCAGGTTTCACTGATTGCATTTGTTAGGTAAAGTCCCTCTTACAATTGGGTCTTGCCCCCAAAGGTGTGGCACACACCAAGACCCCATCCCCCTCCCTCCTTCCCTCTCTCTCCCTCCTTATTAATTCACCTAGAAGTAAATAATTTTAACCAGTTAGAAAATGTTCCAGTATGATGTTGAGAAGATGAGAAATTATTTCTTTGCTTTATTTCCAGTTCTCCTAATTTTTTGTAACAGTGATAAGATCACTTTCAAGAGAAACCATTTATCTATCTCCCCCACCAGGCAGCCTTAGAGAGATAAGTACTAATGATATTTAGAAATTGAATGCTCGCTCTCTCACGAAAGATTAGATTTCTCAGGTTTTTACTTCATTAACTTTATGTGTCGTAACTCATTTCTTTGTGATTACTGTTGAAAATGATATGTTTTTTTACATATCAGATGTGTTTGTATGAATAACTTTTTATAAAAGTGACTTTTAAAAAGTGAACTATCATAAGTGAGTGTTCCATCTAAAATAATAGTGTTAAGAATCATCCAGAACTTTTTTAATTTGACAAGGCTCCATGTCTGTATGTTAATATTATATGTCTGTTACTTGAAGTTTTTCTCTGCTGATAATGTATTCACACCGTGAATTAGAAGGAGCATTTCTTCTCTGAAGGGTATTGACAGACCCATGCACTCCATGATGTGACGCAGCCACTCCAGTCAATACCCTTCTTCCGCTCTTTCTTCCTTTCAGGACCTTTCTTCAAGGTGAGCCCATCTCACTCCTACTTGTAAGCATCAAATTATTTCCTGTCACTGTAGTTTCTCAGCAATTCTCGCAAGAGCTTTCTTTTATCACAGTGAAAGGGAGAGTGTTGGGAAAATGTCTAGACCTTTCAAATTATCATAAATGTTCCAAGAGTAATCGTCATTCATGGGGACAAGATTTTGGACTTGGAGACTATAGAATGGAAAGACTGGTGGTTAGGAAGTGCTTTGCCTCAGGCTCCTAGACCTGAGAGCCCTTTCTCAACTATCTTGAGTGATAACCAAGTATCTCCCTCTGGATCCGAACGCTGTTAAACTCAGAATGCTTTCATGAACTTATTTGTTCACTTGCTAAATACTGTCTGTCTTCACCGAATATAAGCACCATAAGCGCATGGGCCGTGTTTGTGTTGAATATTCTCTTATCTCAGCATTTGCCACAGTGCCTCAAACATGATGGGTAAAATAAATTATTGTCAGATGGATTCATGGACTGGCACAGTCATGTAGCTGTGAGGCAAGGAGACAGTAGATAACAGTGAGAAGAAAATGGCAAATAGCTTCAATTTAAGAGATAAAACGGGATTCCATCAATTTAGGTATCAGTTCTCTTATGTGTTTTTCACTACTCATTTTGCTGATTGAAGTATTCTAGGCACAAGCTTTAGGTGCAACAGAGAATGACTATGACCATTGTAATGTAATAGCAACAGTGGAAAGGGGGAAAGGAATTAGTAGGCTAAAGTGACACAGGCTAAACCTTTAATGGAAAATTCTCTTGGTAGCTAATTCCAAAAATAGTCTTTATCTAAAATAAAATCATTACTATCATCATTGCCTTTGAGCGATACATTAGCACAGAGATAACTGCATTGCTCCAAATGTGTCAGCATTTAAACTCTGTCTTACTGGAATTTTTCTTAATTTATTGTAATCTAATAAACACAGGACACATTATTTGTATTTGACACAGTTATGTTTTTACCATGCACATTCATTCAGCTATATAACAAGGAATAATTGTTCAGCTAACGTTATTCCCTCTACAGAATGCAATGTTTATTCATATGCGCTTGGTGAATGAATTCTTTATAAGCACATTAGCAAAATATGAAAAAAAAACTTCTGAATTTTGAAAAGATAGCAGCAGAAAATAGTAGAAAACAAATTGGGAGAGGGGTCGTACCTACAGATATTTCACATAAAATATGATTGGTAATCTGAATGAAATGCATATTTGAGCATACAAGTAGCTGTAATAATTTTGTCAAATGAAACAAGATGAGTAAACTGGAATGTCATTTTGTTGACAGGAAGGAGTCCGCTTACCCGCTGAAAAATAGCCTCACATTTTATTGGGTCTCCCTCGCCTCTCATTTATTGCATAAAAGCAGTCTCAAGGGTAATTGCCTTGAAAAAAAGTCTTTGACTTATGAATTGTAGAAAATACTGCTAGGATTGCTGAGTTTTATTGGCTCTTTTTTGTGTCTCTTGTTCAGGGTACAACTGGTTTTGACAGATGTATTGTTATGTTATGGGTATAACATGGCATCTTTTTTCAGAAGAACTGAATAAGAGTGATCTTGACAATGAGTAGATTAGACACTGTCAGAAAGCTGAAAAACATGTCAGTGTCCCAGTTATGACACAAACGCAGCAGAACAGACCTTACAATATCATTAAGTCAAGGTCTTTCCTCCAACGCCCTTGAGAAGACAGAAAACAGCCTTGCCCTTAAATACGATCACTTAGCCACAAACATAATAAAACAAGACAAAGTGGCAAAGTACTCACAGTGGCTTTAGATGAGTCTGGACTGTGCTTATGTTTGTGTGTGGATCTCTTAAATACAGTGCACGGATGAAAGAATTTTGAGATATCAGAAACACTCTTTCTGAGCCAAAAAACCATTTAACTTCAACCTTTCAAGAACACTATTAAAGATATTGATTGTAAAATATGCAAAATGACTTCTTGTCTGTTAATTATGATCTTTTTTCCTGATTTTTTTTTTTATGGAATGAGGGGAAATAGGCTTTAATAATAAGAAAAAATTAGGAATACATTTAGAAAATGTGTTTCTGGGTCAGAAATTTTATAAACAGGTCAGGAAAGTCTAAAATGGAGTCGCCCCCACGTGTTAGTTGGAAATAGACATTGGGTAGCTTGTATTTTCCCTTATTATGAGTGACCTGGAGCTGAGCCATAAGGACTTATGATGGCTCAGTTTACAATTCTCTGCTTTGTAATGGTGCAGAAGAGGTACGCGTTCAGTAGAAACCACACTGCAAGTGCCCACACAATCATTCTGTTTTCACTTCTAGTATAATGTTCCATAAATTACATGAAATAGTCAACACTCTATTATAAGAGAAGGTTTTATGTTAGGTGATTTTGCCCACTTGTAGGCTGATCTAAGTGTTCTGAGCGTGTTTAAGGTAGGCTAAGCTAAGCTTGATGTTTGATAGGCTAAGTGTATTAAAAGTATTTTTGGCTTCGATATTTTCCACTTATGATGGGATGTAACCCCATTATATATTGCTCTCGCTCTCTCTCCACACACACACACACACACACCTGTTGTGCATTTAAAATGTTTGCTTTAATGGGAAATAATTTTACCCTTAGAATGACTTTTAATATCTTTGTGTCTAGGATCAGAAGTGGTTGATCTTGATGGAAAAAGTTCCCTTCTCTACAGATTTGATCAAAAATCCCTGAGCCCAGTGAAAGATATTATTTCTTTGAAATTTAAAACTGTGCGGAGTGATGGGATTCTACTCCACAGAGAAGGGCCAAGTGGAGATCACATCACCCTGCAGTTGAGAGGAGGAAAACTCTTTCTGCTCATTAACTCAGGTAAAGCTATTTGGGGTGGTGCTTGACAGTCTGATCATTTAGAGGTTTCTTGGGTAACTTCATGCTCGCATAGTTTTATCTTTTCACAGTCGAGGTGCCTTATTCTCAGATTGAGAGCTTGCATGTATGCCAATATTGCTCTTTCATGTAAAAAATTGTTTATATTTTGCAAATTGCACAAAACCCTTGCTTGATGTATTTTGCATAGCGTTGATAGAACTATGTAGCTGTTTTTCTAACATCATAAAGAAAGGGGACGGATCATTGAAAAAATGTTAAGGTAGTAAAAATAATGAGGTTGTAGCAAAGGTAAAGTTTACATAGAAAATGAACATGCAGTGGATAATAATAATAAAAAGAATTAACAGTGGAAGAAATTAAAACCAGGCTGAAAGACGATTATATTCATACTTCAGGTTTAAAATGTTTGCTTTAGACCCATAGCAGTATTTGGAATGAGATGCATGGAAGGAGATTCCAATTATTATGAGAGATGCTGGTTCATAACATGAATTTCTTTCTTTCTTTTTTTTTTTTTAACTGGGGATAATGGTACTGTTATTGGTGGTTATCTTTTCCTCTTTAAGGTGAAGCTAAGCTGACCTCCATTCCTGTTCTGGTCAATCTCACCCTGGGCAGCCTTCTGGATGACCAGCATTGGCATTCGGTGCTGATCCAGCGTCTGGGCAAACAAGTCAACTTTACAGTGGACGAGCATAGGCGTCATTTCCACGCACAGGGAGAATTCAATTACCTGGACCTTGGTTATGAGGTGTGATGGTTATGTTTCAATTAATACAGATTTTATGAGGTATTCGTGGTTTAATCTCCCAATGGAAAATGCTCTATAGAGAACTCACTTTGGGCGGCAAATCACAGAACTGATGAAGCGTTTCCCACCATGGCCCAACTCACGGTAGCGAGTTTGGGCACGCACTGCATGAGGCTTCATCTTTCTCATAATATGCTAATTTATTATTGCACAGTGAGGTCAGCTTTTTACATGAATGATGTAGTCACAGCAAGTCACAAGTAGGAAATTCTTTCCACTAGGAGATGTCACTGCCACAAGCAAATATAGCACATGTTGTATGATTTCTTTGTATTATACTTGGTGAGCAGTACAGATTTATGGGGAGAATAGAGTAACAAACAAGTTGATTAATGCGTAAACAATTGATTAAATGCACAAATGTCAAAGTGTGCCAGAAATATACATAAAATAAAATGCCATTATACTTTGTTACATTACTAAGCAGATCAAGTTTACCATGTTAGAAAGGTATATGTTTTCATCAACTAATTACTATCAAAATGAGATGGATGTGATTAGCAAGGTGGAAAAATAAAAATCAAGTCTTTGTGTAAGTGAAAACTAAATACATGTAAGTTTGCTTTGAAATCTGTATCTTAATTTTTTGTGTAGGTAGTGAAAAATTGAGCTGTGTATGATGACTACCGCTGCAGTTGCTAATCATGATTATTTAAGCTGGTCGTCAGAAAATCACTAAACAATATTATTGATGCCATTTTTCTTTCTAAGATCAGCTTTGGAGGGATTCCAGCACCTGGAAAATCAGTGTCATTTCCACATAAAAATTTTCATGGATGTTTAGAAAATCTCTACTACAATGGAGTGGATATCATTGATTTGGCCAAGCAACAAAGCCCACAAGTCATAGCTTTGGTAAGATCATAGCTCTGCATAAAACTTGCATCTTTTGCATTATAAAATAACTCCATTGTAGGTGCCCACATGATCTGATGTTTTAGAGTTTTCTAATTGGCGATATGCATGTAAAAGATTGATTCCATATAAAGGAATTGTAGTTTACAGGACATAATTATTTTTATGTGAAGAGAAGAAGTTTTTCTTTATGGTTGATATTTTAATTTTGTTGTGAGATTATTAGTCCCAAGAAAAAAAATTTTTTTTTGCTCTGTAATTGCCTTAATAAGTTATTCCCTGGCAAAGTCACTGGATGAGTGTATACACTTTCTGGAATCTAATAACATCCATGTATGTTAGGAAGATATTACAATTTGAAAAACTTGTATTTTGCCATGGTCATTCACAAGAAATAAAAGCAACTAGTAGGCAATTACAACATTGCTGTTCTGTCCAAACAGCAGTGTTGGCCAGGCCACACTCTATTCTAACTATGGAAATGTGGCAGAATTTAAATATAACTGTCTTGGTCGGGTCTTAGTCAGGAAAGTAGCATCAGTATGAGCATTATGAACAAAGGATCTAGTTTAGGACTGGGATCTCAACAGTTGTCAAAGAAGCTAAAAGTGAAGACGGGGAAATTGGAGGATGAGCGAAGTCTTTAATTCTGCCTGAAGCCATGAAGTGTGAGGACAGGTTGGAGTCTGCAGAGCATTTTCAGCCAATGAAGGAAGCTCCTAAGACAACCTTGGGAGTTGTTGCCTTTGGGCAGCCACCACCTCTGGGGACAGGCCAGGCAAGCTGTGGGGAAGAAGAGATGGTGAGGACTGCAGGGTATCAAGGACAGGCCAGAACAGACCTCCGCTTTGTGATCATCGTTCACTGGACATGATTCCCAAACTCCTTCGGGGCAGAATGTTTTATAGGCATTTCACTTCTGTTGAATATGACCCAAACTCACTTTGGGGGCTAACTTTTACCCAGAAGTACACAAGGAAGGGGATTATGGGAACAATGGTTTTCAGCTTTATCAGTTTAATAATCAAAAGCAGACACATTGATTAGAATTTCTTTTCATTGCTTAAAATTCAGAGTATGTAAATTTAAGCTCACATTCTATCAACAAATCCCAAAGCACATCATGAGAGTATTTATTGTTTACATGGTATTTTTTCTCCTAAATCTCTGTGTGAATTGGTGGTATCTTGATATGATCATAACATCTGGCAAGATTTTTAAATAGTTTTTTTTAATAAAAGAAAAAAGATTTAAAAGGCAATAAAAATATTGTAAAAGGTGAGTGTGTGTTTCACTCAAAACAAATTTCTAGTAACTGCTCATGCAAGGAATGCCCATTCTTCTTTGACAAGAGGAGCTCTTACTAATACAGTGGTAGACAGCTATCCAAATGAAGCATGGATTCTCAGGTTAATGGGCACAAAAACACGATTAGAAAGAAGGAATAAGTTCTAGTGCTCGGTAGCATGGGAGGGCAACTACAGCTAATAAGAATTTATAGGACATTTTAAGATAGCTGGAAGAGATTGGAGTGTTCCTAACACAGAGAAAGGATAAGAGTTCAAGGTGATAGATATCCCAATTACTCTGATTTGGTCAGTACATGTTGTATGCACATATCAAAATATCACATAGCCCCCATAAATATATATAGCTCTTATGTATCAGTGAGAAAAGTAAGACCAGACTTCAGCTGGTAATATGCTTTCATTTTTACTAGGTTGAATAATCTTAGGATTTCCTCACATAGTGTATGACTTACTGTTGTATGCTCTTCCCCTTTTATTTTGTTTATTAGTACAAGGTATTCATGTATAATAAATGCTAGTTCTCTTTTTTTCAGAATCATATCACCAGCCAAATGTTTTTGTTTGACCAAGACCAAGTGTTTTACTTCTAGTGTGTATTCTTCTAAATAAAGTTAATTTTATCAACTTTTCAAATCTGTAGTAAACATGGGGAATGGGAGGGCCACAGAAAATGACTGAACCTTCATGACATATGGCAAGGATTTGGATTTTCATTTTGATAGCAAGTTGTTGTTGTTTTAAACCAAGGATAATGTGCGATGGATAAACAGCCTTTGTAAATATTTCACATTTGGGTACTAATGTGGTATGAATAACGTTCTGAAAGCTTTTTCTTCTTTATTTGCAGGGAAACGTGTCATTCTCTTGTTCACAACCGCAGTCTACGCCTGTGACTTTTCTGAGCTCCAGGAGTTACTTAGCACTGCCAGGTTCTTTCGAAGAGGATGAAGTTTCTGCCACTTTTCAATTTCGAACTTGGAATAAGGCAGGGCTTCTGCTATTCAGTGAACTTCAACTAGTTTCAGGGGGTCTCCTCCTCATTCTTAATGATGGAAAACTTAAGCTGAATCTCTACCAGCCAGGAAAATTACCCACTGACATCACAGCAGGTAATAAATGTATTCCCTGGGGCGGAGCGTATGGATTGGAAAGATTTCATTATCTCTGTGTCCCTTCTCCACAAATTTTATGCATAGCCAAAAAATTTAATATTTGTTTAATAAATGAATATTCGACTTAATAAGATGATCAGTACTCTTCCTTAGAGGAACTTGATTCCAATTTTCTTTTAAATATGATTCCAACACTAGCAGTTCTTATTAACTAAAATGGTAGTTACTGGGGAATAGAAATTTCCTTTTATGACTCTCTCTCACTCCAGATAGGCCAACGTATCTTCACGTAATGTGTTTTGGGAAACATGTGAAAGACTTTGAAACCGACCAAAAAGTTACCTGGGTGTCCTTCAGTAGAAATCTAGACTCTGCATATTTGTCTTCTCTGTTTTGTGGGAGACAGGGAGAGGTCTATGTGGGAGCTCCGCCTATTATCTGTATAATAACATGCCACATGAACTGAAAAATTTAGTCAAATTAACTTTATAAAGAGTTGAATACATTTGAGGGGATGCAAAGTTGTATGTGAAGTTCCTCATTTGGGTGCCAAATGAAATTCTGGGCAATGCAGTTTTAATGATTAGAAATAAATTAATTAAGGGGACTCCATGAGTGTCTGGAAGATGAATGTCCAATTTCGGTGAGTGCTTTGAGTGAGGGTTTTTTTTTTGTTTCTTCATTAAAATTATATAGTTGTCAGCAAGAGATTTCCATCACATTTTGCTGTATATACAGTAGCGATGAAGCCAAATTAAAAAGTGGAATACATTTCAGGGAGTGCAAAAATGTGTGCAAAGTTCCTCTTCAGGTTACCACATGAAATTCCCTCTGCTTCTAGGCAACACAGTGTGTTTTTCATGACCAGAAGTAATATATTAAGGTTACGTTGGGCAAATTATTACATTAATTTAATAAAGTGATCTTTCAAAACAATTTAAAAATGCCATTGTACTACTCTTCTATAATCAGAACTTGTAGACTGTTACTTGGAGAAGGAAAAAAATTAAAATCAGTCGGAAACTAAATATAAGAAAGATAAATATAGGAATGGATACACAAATGCCTATTCTTTATGTATCCTTTTGCTGTTTTTCAATATCAATTTAGATTAAATATGGGACTGAAAATTCAATATTAGTTATAACTTTTGAAGAGGTATTATGCTGTGGCTTTTCATTTCATACTCAAAATGTGGTAGATTTGCAAGCTAGACAAAAGGAAATAAATTAATCAGTGTCGTATTAATAACAGTAGGTCCCGACAATGAAGGTCTGAATATGTAAACTTGCCCTTCCGTGCTGTTCATTGTGTTGTATTTGATGCCTTCTGAAGTGGTCATGTCCAAAGATCCAGAATTTTCAGGATCTTTAAGAAACTGCTTCAGTGCAGTGTTAACAGCAGTGAGCTCCATGTAGCCAGCTCACTTTGAACCACTTCAAGGCATGTGTCGGTAATAAATTACTAGATATAAATCTGTATAGAATACTCGGAGCAATTTAAAAATCTCTAATTTCATGTTTAAATTCATATACAACATAATCCATTATGACAGCCTGTGACTTCATGTGATTATTTTCATAGGTAACCGTGAGGATCCTAGATTAAATATGAATGTCATATTCATAGCAAAATTGTTACTGTCAGTACAGATACCACGATTCAGCCTTTACTTACCAACTCTCTTAACTCCTATTTTTTTTTAAGTTTCTTTCAAAAGACTATGTTGTTTTAGTTTCTGTGAAGCAAGTTCTTTTTCCATTTTCAACCACTTAGCTTAAGTGGGTGATGTGTTAGCTTTTCCATAGGGGAAGACTTTTCATTTGTACAGTGTTCAATAATTAAGCCAGTTGTCAGAATATGTTATAATGACTCTTTTAAGATAACCATATACTTAACTACTAATGGATTGCTAGCACATTATGCTAAATCTTTCCATTGTGTAAGAATGGGTTAATTTTTCTTAGCTATCGGAAATATAGACTATAAATCTTCTATGTTTGAAAAACTCAAAATTTGTATATCTTCTACAGGGGAATTAAAATTAAATTGTATTCAGAAAGACCTGAATTGTGCAGATGTTTGAACTATGAGGCTAAATTTTTAATGTGATGTACAGTTTTACAAATTGTCATTTGGAATTATTCAAAAATATTATGTCAGCTTAAATTGGTTTTTGAAATATTAAAGATACTATATTAGCCTAAATCATGAAACATATTAGCAGTGCTATAAAATCCCCCATGGTACAAAATATTTTTAGCCCTTGTCACCTTCATAGATGTCAAAGCAAAAAATCATTCAGATAGTACCAGGACCCAATGAACTATACAGTTCTATTTTCTTATTTAAAACAATTTTTTTGTGTTGTCAGATTTGAGATTGCTGCTCTAATTTCAGCATTTCTGCTGGGGCTTTTGCCTCATGGTGAAAATCAAATCTATAACCAAGCCTTTGGCCCACCGTGGGCAGGGTCTGGCCGGGACAGGCTCGTGGTATTTGGGAGGTTTCTTTATTTTTTTCTTGCCTGGCTGTTCTTCATTCTTGTGCACCTGGCAGTGGAGCTGCCCTCTGGGTTTGCTTCACCGGTGAGAAGGCATTTTTTAAATTCCCTCTTCCTCCCTTTTACTGTTGAAATATTCCTACCTTTCAGATTGTAAACCTGTCACTACTTAAACTCCTGCTCTCTGCTAAAGTGATGGGTACCAGCAACCGCCATATTTTCATCTTGACAAGAGCTATCTAGCTATCTGGATCCTTAATTCTGGTTAGTGACTACAGTCGGTGGATATAGGAGTGTCTGGCACTTTCGGAGCCCCGAAATACATTTGGAAACAGGCAAAACCTTTCGGTTGCTCCTTGAGTAATAGCCTACATATAATTGCCTTGCGCATCTCTGCAGAGCACCTGCCCTGTACGGCAGACGGATGTTTCTCTTTATACATCATACCCTATGGATGCCTGCTATAGTCTTATGAGAGGATAGTGGCAGCTAAGCTGTCATAATGTTCCTGCAATTCAGAACTGGATCCAGAAGATTATATGGAGGGGAGCAGATAGAAATCTCTTCCTTCTAATGTATTTTTGTGTCTTTCTGTGGTTTGGGACAGAAAGGACACAGAGAGAAAGAGACAGGTAGTTCTGGTACACAATCTCATCTTCTCCTGCTAACTTCAATTGCAAATACTTCTGTTTATTATTTTATTCTTCCATTTTCCATTTGGAATTGTCAATATTTTCTACCCAAAGACTACAAGGAGCATATCTGAAGTTAAAGAAGTTGAGCTGATTAGGACAAAGAGAGCACACACCTTGGGAACCATGGGGAATGTCTCAACGTGATGGTGTTAGGATAACTTGTAGGTTTGGAGTTTTGTTAGCTGATTTGAGAGAGGTTTCATGGAACTGAAAAAATATTGTACATTAAATGCTGCCAGGCTATCTTTGTAAATTTTAAAAGGACAGAGAAATAAAATAAGATTAAAACTATAGTTTGTTAAGAAAAAAAAGAAGCTTTTATTCATACTATCGGGAGTTGAGGAAATTTGGTGTTTTTGTGGTTTGCACAGAGGCCTTGTTTTTATCATGTTTCATTGTTGTGACAGAATGACCTTGTATGATGTTGGTGTTCTCTGAAATTGTTGGTGTTCAGCAGAAGCCCATGGCCCAGCTCTCAGTGCCAGCCCACTTCTCACAGCACCAGGGCCTCCCTGGAGGTGCCAGGCCACCTTCTAGCTGTTGGGGCTTATTTTTCTGTTTCATAGAGTTAACTATTTAACATGAGCAAAAAAATAGAAGGGACCATCTGTCTTGCAGACAGAGAAGAATATGGGTTTTGGAGTCAAACTTGGCTTTTTGTTATGTTTCTTACCAGCTGGATACTACCTAAAGAAACCTGTTGCTCCTCTCCTCATCGCATCTGGATAAGATTAATAATCGTTGTGGTAAACATTGAATGAAACAATGCATACAGGCACATAGTACCTATTACAAACGAGAGCTCAATAAAGTTGTTCTTATTTACACCACATGCTCCCTTCCCAGAATCAAAGGTGAAGAGTCAGTGCATTATAGGAGTAGAATCTAGAATTATCCTTTACATAACATCACAAGAAAAAGTCAAATTCTGGGATTCCTTCTTCTACTTCCCCTTCTTTCAAAGAAGCGTGGGCTTTAAAAGGGGCTCACCTGCCACCAGTGCTAGATTTGGAAAGGTGCACACTTACAAAAAAATAGAATCTAAATTAAAACTATATAAAATAAAAAAAAAACTATATAGAATCAGTTGAAATAAAGGGGCCCTTCGTGATTTAATTTGAGCAGTAAATCCTGTTGACAGGTAATAAGTTCCATCATCATAAGTAAATGATGTCTAGTACAGATGAGGCTCCAAACAGCTTCCCGAAGGTCCCCACCCACATGGCACGACTTCATAACCTGCTAGTTAGATGAATGCGGTCAACAGTGTCAAATTGCAGTGGGTGGGCCTGGCAGGCTTTCATTATTTTATTTATTTATTTATTTTTACTCTTTTGTTCTTAATCTAATTGGGGCTTCTATACGGACAGTGGAACCCCCCACACCTTTGACCTGTTCCTCCTGAGTGCCTGACCACCAGGTGCCCAGAGCACTGCTGCTCCGAATGTGCTCCCTGGACTATCCCTGGCTCAGAGAAATGCTTGTTACCCATCCATAATGAGAGGACTGTAAATATGGAGATGCAAGTGTCAGCAAGTGTTCTAGCAAAAAGGTCTTACTACAACAACTAAGCAGTGGTAGATGTGTACAGTAGGTTTTTTCACTTTACTTTGTAGGAATACATTTTAATCAAATTTTGTAAGTGTCAGTTTGTAATAGATCGGAAAATAAAACGTTCATTCCCCCAAGTAGTTTGGGAAGCACTGCCCAAGACAAATGGGAAGCCTAAGATGAATAACAGAAGCTTGAGAACAAGGTAGGGAGGAGACTCACGGGGACAGGTGGGTAGACGGGGAGAGTCTGTATACATGACCAACCACTCAGTGTTTACGAGAATTTTCATTCCAAATGTATCCTCTAAAGGAAGCACTGAAAGACAAATCTGGGACATTTGATTTATTTTAGTCCAATCCCATGCCATCAGGGATTACATAACTCTACTTGGTCGCCTATTTCAGAGTGCACTCTTAGAGAATAATGTGTCTAAAAGGATCTAACCCACATTTTTCATAGTTTAGCTTCCAAATCTTTCCCATTATCTTTCACAAACCAATCCAGAGTTGAATCTTAGAATTCTTTCTTGTTTTCCCTCCACGGATATGATGTAAAAGTGAGCGTCCGTGTCCTGGCTAGAATGTGTGTTAGGTGAAATACGTCCAGGGCAAAGAAATGTAATCACTGAAGAAGGCTTGGATGCATCTTCAGTCTGAAAGCATGTGGTAGAAAATAGCTCAGGAGATAAAAGAAATCACATATAGTATCAGAAAAGAGGTTCATTCACTATTAGAAAAGAAATCGCATATTATAGCAGACAAGAGACTCTGTGGGCTTAATAGGGTGCTTGTGTTTTTATTTACTAATGTGCTCTGCAGAGTCAGAATTGACCGTTCAAATGGAGGTAAACCTGACTGGTACATCCACGTGGAGATGTTTAGGCTTCACTGCTCTGGTCAGAATTTAACCATAGGGATTCTTGTAGACTTAATTCCCTTTAGGAGGAAAAGGTTGTGTGTTCTCTTGGATTTATGATCCTGCAACTGCTTTAGGAAGGACTAGAGATGGTTTTTTAGAGGTAGTATGAATACCTCGGTGTTTCATTATAGCAGCTTCTGATTATATATGTGTGTGTTTTTGTAAACAAAAAATTTACTATACATATACACACACATGCTCATACATATGTAAACTTAGAAAATATAGAAAAATACAAAATTAATGGAAAAACACAATTTTACTTCAGGAAAAAAGTGCTATTTTTGTGAGACAATATTTCTGCTCCATCCTTTTCCATATTTAGATAAAAATTAAGAATATATTTAGAATTATATATAAATACATATGGCGGAGAGAGCTGATTTCTATTACTCACAAGGGGTTTGTTTCTCTAATTACAGAACACTGAACCGTTTGCTCCTAGAGCACACGGAGTGAGTTAGGGGCCCATGAGCCTCTGGTGACAATGCGTTTCTCAGCCCATCACGGGGAAGTTCTTATATGTGTTTTATGTGTGTTTCTGTTTAAAGACACCTCATTTATTATATGTCGGTGATGCATTAGCACTGGACCATTAGCCAACAACACTGTAATTCATGCCTGAGTGAAGCTTATCTGGCAACATTTTCCAAAACAGACATCACATTCTTGCACTTAGGAACACTACAAGATGCTTCAGTACTATGCTTGGGAGCCGCTGTAAACAGCAAGATCAAAAACCTCACAAAATCAGAGGAAAGGTGTTTACACTATGCATGTTCACACAGTAGGGCAGAGCATGGCCTTGTCTCACCTCCCTGGGAAACAGGCATAGGACAACGGCAAGTCGTGGTGATCTCATCTGCGCGAGTCCTCCAGTGACTGAGAAAGTTCCTCCAAATACTGATTTGGGGGTTACAAGTCAAATTACCATTAGTCAAATTCTCAGATACAAAATTTACAAAAAATAATGGGGGTTTAGGTTTTAACTTTACATTGCACCTATAAACTTTCACTGTTTATTAATAATCTCTTCAAATATTTCTGTAATGGTTCATGATATAGCTTGCTACATGTTCTATCAAAATATCATAAACGGTGATTACACAAAAGTACCAAATGGCAGGTAAAGCATTTCATCGGGTATAATCTAGACTTTTAGGAAATATCTGACTCTTACTAAACTCCCCCCACCAAGCAGGTAAAGTACATGGATGGGAGCTGAAAATCGATTTATACCAAATAATTGAAAAATTTGAATCATTCAGGATTGTCTACAGTGGGGAATTTTTTTTTTTTTCTGTTTCTCTCACTTTTACTTTTTTTTTTTATTTTTTATTGAATGGTAACTATGTACATTAATGCACTTCTGGGGTACAGTGTGGGGTTTTCACACACAATCCAAAACACTTCCATCAAACTGGTTAACATAGCCTTCATGTCATTGTCTTAGTTATTATTTTAAAACGTTCACGTTCTGCTCTTAGAAAGATTCACTTGTACCCTTGTAAGATAAACCTCAGAAGTGATCCCTCCAATCCCCCCCTTCACCCGTTCCCCCCTCCCTTCTCTCTCCCCCCTCCCCGTATTCTTAGGCTGTTATTAGGTTATGGCCTTCATATAAAAGGTATAAATTAATTTCGTAATAGGGGTGTCTACATTGGATACTTTTTCTTCCATTCTTGTGATAGTTTGCTAAGAAGAACATTTTCTAGCTCCATCCATGTGAACATGAAGGACGTAAAGTCTCCATCTTTCTTTATGGCTGCATAGTATTCCATGGTGTACATATACCACAGTTTGTTGATCCATTTGTGGTACAGTGGGGAATTTTATAATGCATCATTTTCCACATAAAGTGTGCTCTTTTTTTTTCTCTCTTTCTTTTTATTAATAAATATAAATACGATAGCCAGTGGGGTGATGTGTATAGTGCTGTTTTTAACCAACTGCTTATAGTGTCCCCTCTAGACGGGGATTTCTGTAACTGGTTTCCTCTTCCCCAGGTGCTGGATTAAATGATGGACAATGGCATTCTGTTTCTTTATCTGTTAAAAGGAGTCACCTGAGTGTGGCAGTGGACGGCCATGTGACATCTGCTGTTCCTTCTCTGGGACCTGAGCAGGTTCACTTAGGTGGCACCTATTATTTTGGAGGTAAGAAAAGGGGTCAGGCTACATGGCCATTGACCCACATTTGCATTAGTATCCCTGTGTCTTGGAGGAAGTCCTTGTGGTTTAACTCATGTTAATACTAAGGAATAATTTTTCACCTTCTTTGAACATGGAAATGTCGAGTGGATCGCGATGAAGAATTACGACCTAATGTGCCTTTCTACAAGGCGGACTGACTTATGTTTATAATTTCTGTAACCACATTGATTTTAAGTAGGCCACCTCTTCAGTTCTTGCCTTCAAACCTCATTATATTTTCCTAGTGTTAATGATCCTTATATGTCTTCTTTTGATTTTATGGGCTGATTTAATTGCAGTATTTTCCCGATAATGCCTCTTTGCTCCTTCAGAGCATCCCCATTGCTTCCCCACTGCCTGATGCAGAAGGGCAGTATTATGCCAGTGGACAGATAATTGAACTTGGCTAGACATAGCAACCTATTGTGTTTGCTAAGCAGTAATGCACTGATACATTTGATGAGATCAGGGCACCAGCCTTGAACACCATGTCATCTGCCTAAGAGAACAAAAGCAAATGAAGCATTTACCTGCCCAGTGGATGTTTGATTGAAGTAAAAGCTTGCAGAAGAAAACCTGGGAAATGGAAATGAATCTTTATCACTGGAAAATTAAGACGAAACGTTCTTTGCCATTAGAAATGCAACGTTGTAAACCTGTCAGTACAAAGACTCACTTCTAATAGTGACTCGAGGTGTTTCTTGTATTAGCTTTGATTTGGCGTCGTTCTGTTGCATTTTAATAGCCGCTTCTGCCCGGAATCTTGTTTGAATTTGGTGGAAATAGCCCAGCCTTTATTATTCACCAGTAAAAAACACATTCTTTTGTAAGAATTGACAGTGAGCACACAGCCCATGAATCAGTTCATGGGATCTTAAAAGCAAAGGAACAAACAGCCAACCCCCCTGCACAATCCATTACTGTGAATGTCTGCTCAGGGCCAACAGTCCTAAAAGATATAATTGCTTCCTTTGCTGAGATCTGTTTATTTAAGAACCAGGGTGCTTATAAAACCTTTTGGAATAAATGATTGATTTTATGGCAATCCATAGGAACACATTCTTTTAATAAATAGTAAGATAGAGAGAACAACTTTACCAAGAGCTTTCACTTCAAAGGAAAAGATTTAGAAGCACTCAAAGAGATAAGGAAAAAAAATCTAGGCATATTGTTAAATGATGCAAAATAAAACACTGGATAGAAGTGTTTGTAAATCATGAAAATAGAATCGTCCTTCTTAAAATATTTTACATCCTTCATGTTCAGGTTTAACGATGCCTGGCTGTTTTATGTAAATTTTTACTCTAGTGATCACTTTTATTCATATAGTTTCACTATAAGATAATATTACTTTATAGTGAAATATATCACATATGTACTCTGTAATTTTGCTTGTTTTTTATTAGGATACACATGATCCATGTTATCTATATTTTTAGGAAATATTTTTGGATAGTTTTGGATGTATAAAGAAGTTGCGAAACTATTTAGAGGTATCTTCTGTGTACTCTGTAGCCAGTCTCCTCTATTGCTGGCATCTTATCTCCTATATACATTTCAAGATTACAGATGGTTTTTCTCAAGTTCACATCCACACACACATCCCTCTGCTTGTGAGAGAGAAGACCCTCCGGGCATGTGTGTCCCTCTAGGGTCATATCTCCTGAGTTTGAGTTTGTTTCTTCCCTTCACGATCACAATCATTTTACATCTTTAAGGATGTTCCTAAATAATAAACCATGGAACCCTCCACGATACTATTCCAACTCCAAGAAGAAAGTAACCAATCTCAAGTTGACTGAGGTAACTCTGTTCATTCAGTCCCCTTCTCAGCTGTTCTGCCGCGCCAGAAGATGGCAGGTTCTCGTGAGGTTCTGTTGACCACTGAATACATGCTCTGCAGAACCCAGGCCACCCTGGACATCTTGGGGGCTTGAAAGTTACAGAGAATTGCAGTCCAGCTCTTCCCTGCTCTGCCCAGCCACGTACTTCCAGGAAGTGGAAGGGTGAGGGGGCCCACCTTCCTTTGAGCCTGCTCAGGGCCTTTGGCTGGAAATTCTGGATCGTGGGAGTGGACTGGAGGGGACAGGGTTCCAAGCAGGCACGTTATTTTCTCCTCTGAGACCTTGTGGGACTTTTGGCAAAAGCATGGCTGGAAGAGGGCTAAATAGGGTCCCCTAAAATGCATTGCCTGGGTGGTACTGGCAATGGGGCGACCAACTCTTCCCTATTTTAGCTGAAAGTCCTGCGTCTTGGAAACGCTTCCTCCAGTCCCACCTTGGGGAAGCTGTGGCAATTGTTCAACCTAAAAACCTCTGCTCTATGCAGGTGAGACTCCCTCTATCACTAGGATCTGTTTTATCAGGTTGAAGGTGTTTGTTTCTCAGGGAGTGAATTCTTTGGCTAGTTTATCTTCAAGTGAAAAATGATCCTGTGCTCTGAGGTTCATCCTATCAGTTTTTCTTCCTTCTAAATTCAACGGCAAGTTTCTAGTTATGTTCCCAGAATCCAGTCAGTCTGACCTGGCTGTCCCAGCACCCTGGGCGATGGCTCCTCCCTGCCAGCCAGGAGAGTGGCTGTCGTGCTGGGAGAAGGGGCTGCTCCTGAACTGGCCGCATTCTCTCTATGCCACGCCACACCTGCGCTGCTCATCCATCACTTTTTACTTTTTACTTTTTTTCTACCCTCAGATGAGTGCTTTTCAGAAACTCGGGCTGCATCGTGGTGCACTGTGCTCAGCTTTTCTCATTTATAAATTATAAATTTTTAATCTGAGTTCTCCAGAGTGAGGATGGCTGAGTGTCTGATCCGTGCGCATTCCCCTGAGGAACCTTTCTGCAGTGCATGACCCACCATGCAGCACAAGCTGGGGACACTGACCGTGAGCAGGGTTCTCACGTCCCCTCCCTCCAGTGAACTGCCTGTACTGACACGCAGTCTGCCCTGACATCTCACTGCTGCTCCACTGACACACAGTGGTAATTTATCTGCCATCCTCGGAGCTGTTTAGTGTGCTAGCTGCCTCTAGTAATGGATCCATCCATTAATTCAGCATTAGGTATTCTCCAGAAAGCTTCCCATTTGGGGACTTTCATCTCACATTGGGTTCAGTGCTTCACTTCTCTCTGATACTGCATTATATTAACTGCGGTTGCCTCTTATCGTAGACTAATGAGACTAACCTGGCTTGAACCCTTCTTTGTTCTTAGAATCTCTTTTTTTTTATTGAACACCGTGGCTAGGAATATGAAGTGCCTCACGATATGATAGTGTGCTGTCTATAAAGTTGCCTGATCTTTCCCTGTGACTTGGGTCTCTTCGTCCTGTTCCCTATAGGCAAACTGAACAATTTATTCAATTCTGAAATAGTTTGGGATGTGTCAGGAAACACCACCTGGAGGAAAGGAGATTAGTGGAGTTGTTTATATTCCTGGCATATTGTAGTGGCTTCAAAATATTATTGAACTATTATCCTTTCAGTTTTTATCCTAACATTCTTAATTGGTTAATAATTCATCCAGAATACATATTGAGATTACGGTAACCATATCTTACACTACAGGAGAAATGTAAGTGGAAATGTGTGTAGTGCCATGTCCAATAAATTAACACTCAAAAAGCTTTGATCACTTTTTCTTGATCTATTCAATTTGAAACTTCAAAGTCTCCATTAGGTTAAAATATAATGTTTCATTGTGGCTGGTAATAGTTTTAAATTTGAATCCTGGCCTAGCCTTTATTTGCCATGTACATGTATTTTGTTAAGAAAAACAAAGCATTTAAGGAAAAATATTCTGTCAAATGATTTAATTATAATGGGAATGCCCAAGTAGAAAACCAGCATGGATTGTACAGGAATTAGGAATTCATTTCCTACTCCTTTTTTTCTCCCCAGATAAATGCAAATCTTCCTCTGTTTCTTTCTTTTATTTCAAAATATTAAGGGGATAAATGTTTTTGTTATGTAGAGACCTTGTGTAATGTTTAAGTCAAAGCTTTTGGTGTGCCTGTCACCAGAATATTGTTCATTGTTACAGGAGGTGTGCTTTTGTCCCTCACCCTCTCCCGCGCTCCCCTATGGTTTCCTGTATCCCTTATATTTCTCTGCTCCCACATGTACCCACCATTTAGCTCCGACTTATTAGTGACAACATACGGTGTTTGTTTTTCCATTTCTATTTCTGAGATACTTTACTTAGGATAATAGTTTCCAGTTCCATCTAAGTTGAAGCAAAAGACATTATTTCATGCCTTTTTGTGGCTGAGTAGTATTCCATGTATATATGTGTGTGTATAATATATATTAATATATAATCTATAATAATATATGTTATATACACACACACCTCACATTTTCTTTATCCATTCATGAATTGGTGGGCATTTAGGTTGATTCCTCATCTTTGCAGTTGTGAATCGTGCTTTGATAAACATTCAAGTACAGGCTTATTTTTTATGAAATGACTTCTCTTTTGGGTAGATACCCAGCAATGGGATTTCTGGATTGAATGGTGCATCTACTCTTAGTTCTTTGATGAATCTCTGTTTTCATAGAGGTGGCGCTAATTTGCAGTCCCACCGACAGGGTGTGAGCATACCTTTCTCTCTACAGCCACTCCAGCATTTGTTGTTTTGTTTGATTTTTGAATAATGGCCATTCTGATAGGGGTAAGGTGGTATCTCATTGTCATTTTAATTTGCATTTCCCTGATGAGTAGTGATGTTGAGTATTTTTTCATGGGTTTGTTGGCCATCTTCTGTCTTGTTTTGAAAAACTTCTGTTCATGTCTTTTGCCCACTTTTTAATATGGTTGCTGGTTTCTTTCTTTCTTTTTTTTTTTTCTTGATGATTTGTTTGGGGTTTTCATGTCTCCAGATTTGTTCTTTTTGTTTATGATTGCTTTGGCTATTTGGGCTCTTTTCTTCCCAATTTGGATGCCCTTTATGTCTTTCTCTTGATGGGACTTCCAATGCTATGATGAATAGAAGTGGCGACAGTGGGCACCCTGTCTTGTTATAGTTCTTAGGGGGAAATGCTTTTAACTTTTTCCCATTCAGGATGATGTTGGCTGTGGGTTTGTTATATATGGCTTTTATGATTTTGATGTTTATTTCTTATGCCTAGGTTCTCGAGGATTTATATTATGAAAGGATGCAGGATTTTGTCAAATTCTTTTTCTACATCTATTGATATGCTTGTGTGGTCTTTGTTTTTGTTTCAGTTTATGTGGTGAATAATGCTTATTGATTCATGTGTGTCGAGCTGTTATTGCATCCTCAGGATGAAACCCACTGATCATAGTGGATTATCTTTTTTATTAGTCATTGAATTTGCTTTATAGTATTTTCTTGAGGACCTTTGCATCTACATCCTTATGGGATATTGGTCTATACTGTTCTTTTCTTGTTTCCTGGTTTTGGTACTAAGGTAAGAGTAGCTTCATAGAATGAGTTAGTTAGAATTCCCTCCTTCTCAGGGTTATGGAATAATTTCTGTAAACTAGGTACCCGTTCCTCCTTGTAAGTCTGGTAGAAGCCGTGTTCCATGTGTAATGCACTTCTGAGCATTTCCCCAGGGCACATCTAGTAGTGACGACCCCCTTAGTGTCTGCTTGTCTGACATTTCCGTGTTGTCCTTTTGGTTGGGATCTATAGGTGTAGACTGAATGTGCTCCTTTGGAGGTGTGAACTAGCTTGTTTTTTCCTATTACCAAAATTCCTGTATTGGTTCCTTCTCATCTGAAACCTCTTCTCTCAGCTCAGGGATGTTGGGTTTGCAGCACACCTGTCCTTGGCTGGGAATGCTCCTGCCTTGTGAGGAGGGAGGTCCCTGACTAGTGTTTTGTGTCCTGCTATGGAGGACTGACTGCAGGAGATGGACAAGTGCACTGAGAACGTGTGACGCAGCTGTTCTCCATGTCACCCTGTGCCTCTGTGGTTGTCACAGGCCACACTGGTGTGGGGGATGCTCCTTTGTACTGGCAGGTTGGTGCTGGGGTGGCTTTTGGAAGCTCTGGCAGGGGACTATGCAAATTTCCTCTTCTTGGAGGTGGGTGGCAGAACTTGGTGGGTGCCTGGGTGCATCATGGTACCTTGGTCAGTGTCTGCTCAGATCATGGGACCTGTGCCAGTGACGGAGGGCTTGGTGTGAGTGGTGAGATGGTTCCTAGCTGGCGGCTGCAGGAGTCAGGTCTGCCAGCATTCCTCCTCCCACATCTAGGTGTAATGGCCGTATCTGGCCGGGAATCGAGAGCGATTTGTGACTGATGGGTCTTGGTGGAGAACTGGACTAGAGGTGTGGAGCTGCGTGGTGCTTTGGGGCCACCAACCTCTGCACTCTTCACAGTGCAAAGGCTGGCAGGCTCATTCCACTGGTCAGTGTGTGGGGCCATGGGGGTGTAGTCAGCAGCTGGCACATTGAACTGAGACGTAGCTTGCTGCCCTACCTGGAGTCCCACCAGACATGGACTTCTGCGTGTGCCCCAGGCTGGGGCCTTATTCCTCAGGTATAAGAGATCACAGGGGTATGCCCACCGAGAGGGACGTGAGTCCTGGGGGGTATGGCCTGGCTGTCAGAGCACCTGCTGCTTGACAGCTGTGGCTCTTGGCTTGCACAGGTCCACTTGGGGTTGCCACCATGGGGGCTCATCTCACCATACATGCCCACTCTCCTGGGATTCCCTGGTGGGAGGGATGCATGGCTCCTAGCACTGATGTGCGAGAGCATTTGCTCTCCTTGCTCCTTCCCTGGCCAGCAAAGTGGACTCCTGTGAGGACCACAAGGGCTCAGGTGCAATCAGCTGCAGCACCTTGGGAACAGAGGCCACAGTGTCCCTGCTGGGCCCATGCTTGGATGCAGCTTCACTGCACCATTGTCTCCAAGCAGTTCCCGGATCAGCGCCGCTCACTGCCGGGTGGTGGGAGCACCTGTGTCCTTGCTGCCAGCACAGGGCCTGGTGTTCGCTCCCTTGTCAAGCTCCCTGTCCCCTCTCCATCACTCTGGGTCTGCCCCATCTCTTCTCTGATGATTCACAGTGCTCCCTCCAAGAGGGCCCATCCTTCGTGAGCATCTTCCATAGCTTCTAGAAGACAGTGTGTGTGTGGACTGCTTCTGTCCACCATCGAGGCCCACAGACCATTTCCTATTTTTTGAAATTCTGGTAGTGATTGACAGCTATAACAGCAAAGGAAGATTAATGAAAAATATAGAAAAATAATATACTATACATTCCTACTCCATAAAATTATTCATTTCACTTGGATAGAAAAACACTTAGAAAATCATAAAACTCCAAACAGTAATGGTTAATATTATACTTATTTATTATTTAAATTTAAATAATCTCAAATACATTTTAGGAAAAAAGCAGTGTAAGTCTCTTATGAGGCAAAGCATAAAATATAAAAGTAAAGTGTTTTTGACATAAAACCATAAGGGCTTATTAAAATACTTGGGTGTGTGTTTTCTTTGTATATAGGAAAATATTGAATTAAACAGATAGTTGATCAATTTGTTTCATGTCAATGTAACTCCTTTTTCAAAGAGTTATTTTTGTATACTATAAAGACATTTCACCATTGTTGATTTATCTTTTCTTATCTCAGGGGTACATTTTCTTCCTTTATGTTCTTAGTTTTAGTCTGAAAGACTAAATTTCTGTTTAGTTTACAGGTGCTTTAACACTGCTGGCTGGTATGTGTAGGGCTGTGAAGCTAATATGTATATTTTCAGAATTTGGATCAAGCCAGTGAGTGTCCTTGCACGTGATACCATAGCCCTCATGACTTCCTGTGACTCCTGTGTAAAATGTCCTTTGCATGAATTGCAATTTGTAATTTAGATTAAACTAATGATGACTACAGTTAGTTTATTTCCCTCCTTTAATACAGAAAGTAATCAAATGACTATTTCTTTTCCTTTTTTCAAAAATGAAGTGTTCCATAATACTGAATCCTGCTTCATTACAATCCATACTGTTCTGTTTTTATCAGGTTGTCCTGACATAAGCTTTGGATCCAAATGTAAAAGTCCCCTGGGTGGATTTCAGGGATGTATGAGACGCATCTCCATCAGTGACAAAGTGGTCGACCTGCTCTCCGTGCAGCAGGGGACCTTCGGGAACTTCAGCGACCTGCAGATAGACTCCTGTGGCATTTCAGATCGGTAAGGACACTTGCATGTCTTTATTTTGACCTATTTTCAAGCTTCTGACAACACATGAAAAAAAATATATGAAACAAGTAATTCTCTCCTCTTTACATCCTTATCTTTTACATAAGAAATAGATTATATTTGTGTCAGAAATACAAAAAATATGTCTTTTGTTTTATGTGTCATAGTTCAAATGATGACATCTGGAAGACAAGTGCTCATGTTGTCTCTGTATACATCCTACCTAAGGTCATGGTGATGCTGCTACAATTTTAGATGGGTATAAATGTATTAAAAATGTTATTGAACTCAACAGATGAGGCTCCCCATACAGTAGAATTGACCAGCACGTGCCCATAAATCAGAGACCTATATGGTCATTTATCAAACTGGCTTTTGCTACCCTGACAGTTGAATAATATTTTTTGGGGCAGGGGAATTTGGTTGGTTGCTGTTCTCCTAATGTGCTTATTTAACAACCCATTACCATCTTCTCAGGGAAAATGTGAAGAAACTCCTGCTTTAGAAAAGCTCAGGGCTGTAGTATTGATCAGGTGGAAGCATGGATTGAGAAGTTTCCATAGGAGCATTAATAGAGGATGTAGTAAGGCAGGGTTTGAGTTAATTGTAGAGGACAAACAACTTGAAAAATAATAATTAATAGTTAATTAATAACTGTGTTTCAGCATGGGCAACTATAATAAGTAATCTTGGCAGTCATGCTTTAATATCAAAGTTGTTAATTTTAATTTTTGAGTTGAATGGAATGTCATAACCATTACAGATTTAACAATATTTTAAACAGTGTGACAAAATTAGCCTCTTCCCTATAGCAGTGCTCAATATGTATTTTGAATAAATACATAAATTAGCAGCTTCACAAGTAACTTTACTTGCATGAAACATTTCATCAACATTAAGACTTATCTCTTTGTATCCAATACATACTTAGTGATGCCTCTTGATCCTATTCTGATCACTAATGCAGACTATGTTATGTCCAAAAAAAGCAATAATAATCATATTTAGCAATAGATAGGGACATACTTTCCTCTTCACAAATATTTGTTTATTTTATTTATTATTAAAGAATTTGTACAGAAAACAGTCCTTCCTATAATGAAAGCTGATGTGTCAAGGGAGAATTTAGACAATAAACGTCAATTGGCTTGATTTGGGGATTAAATGATTTCTTGATACACTCATAGTGACCTTGTCCATAGTTAACAACCATATCAGCTTTGGAACCTAAAACCTGGGCAGAAGGAGGGTGTGCAGCAGGGCTTCCTGGGCCTGGCCTCTCAAGGTAGGGTTTGCTGACAGAGACAAGGGGTCCTCACACCCCCAGAGGGCAGCCAGCAGGGAAACTCTGTCATCCACAGTACACGGACAGTGCATATTGATGACCTCGAATGCAGACAGTTCTTTTGGTACAAGTAGATCTATCCTTTTTCCTATGTGGGTTTGTTCTGGAGCTGCCATTTTGCCCAGGAACTCCTTGCTTACCTCCTGGAGATACACACCTTGCATGAAATAGAGGAATATGTAGCACAATTGGAGAATACAGATCATTAGTGCCAACCTGCTAAAGTACTTTCCCAAAGTAGCAAAGGCTAATTGTAATCCTAGCAACCATATAAAATACAGCACAAGTCAAAGGAGCATTTGTGTACCTTTTAAATTTCCAAATCTGTCTCTAAACCCTTGTCTTAAACTCACAAGAAAATATATCATCTATTTACTTTGGTCTTATATGCTACATCTGTATCTACTGACAGCAGTTCTAAAGCATTAAATAGAGTTTTGGTTTTTTGTTTTTTTTTTAATCTGTATACAAGGCCCTATGTTAAGCACTTAACATGAGTTAATGTTTAAATCAATCTTCACAAAACCACTTAGAACAAATAGTATTCGTTTCTTATAAATTTGGACATAGCTGCACAGATAGGTTAAGTGAGTTGGCCAAGATGACGTGGCTAAGGAAATGCTGAACCCAGCCTCAAATACTGGCTCTCTGGTTCCAGGCCAGACTGTGTAGCCTCTTTGGGTACACATTAACATTTATGGTGGTTAATATTTAATTTATGCATAATAAACATATCACTTAATGGTTTAATAAATTATAATTTAAAACAAGCAGTAACTTTAACAACATTTTAAAAATCTGACAGGAACTTAAATAATGCATTTTTTTTTTTTTTTACTATAGCTGACTTTAAGTGAGATCAACTTACATATAAAATGTAAATACCAACACACACATGCTCACACTGCTGTTCACAGACTGGACACCCCTGCATTAACATGGTCATTGCATGTATCTCTCTCACACGCACACCCTCACGTGCTTACTCTCAGCTCCAAACACTCACATACCCCTGCAGGGGACAGGGGAGGGCTCCCAGCTGTGTCAGGAAGATCTGAGTGTGTGAGGAGGGTGGGGATGACCTTGACAGTGAGGGAGTGGTGTGTGAGCTGCATGCCCATGGATTCCCAGGTGAGGATCTGTGTAAATGTGTGTAAGGATGATGTGTGAGTCTCTGGGTGGGTGAGAGAGGGCGAAACTGCAAAGACAGCAGCTCTCCGTGTCCCTGTCTGTACCTGGAGCCAAAGCGCTGGTGGGGCCGGGGCAAGGTGAAGGCCGTTAGGACATCAATACTTACTAAGTTGTTCATCCTAAACCTCTTATTAAACAAAACCATTAGGTATATCAATTGATAATCAACTTTTGAAGAACACTGGCTGATTTGGGAAGGCCACCATCTCAGTCACCAGTAGACACCACCCTTCTCCAAGTGTAGTAAGGCTAAGACTGGTTTCAAATGACACCTGGGCTACAGAGACCTCACACAAGAGCTGCATCCACTGTATGACGATGTCTATCTTGTGACCTTGGCAGGCCTTGTATCCCTCTATCTCCTGATATCCTACTATCCTTACCCTTAGCCCTTGCACCTCCATCTCCATCATACTGTCCCCTCATTCCCTCCCTACCTCCTGGCCCTCAGGTTGGGTCTCCAGCCTCCATCCTGCCCTATCCGCCCCTCCACCCTAGTCTTCCTTCTCTCCTCTGAAGCTCCAAGCCTGCCCATATTCCTGCTCCGTTATGCCCACTTCTTTGAGTTTATCTGAAGGTCACAGTGTTGTTCTGTCTCCTGTAATACTAAAGCCATTGCTTTTGGGGGGTGGACATGGGAGATGGGAGGTTTGTGGATTTCATAGATTTGAGGCAGGACATGAAATGAATTTGATAGTTGCCATTAGCCCAGAATTTGTAGGCACCCAACAGTGTCTGATTTCCCTAAATGAGACAATGTTGCATAAATTTCACTTTAATATCATTAATTCCATCCAACCTGTATAGTGAATAAAAGTCTTTTGAAAGTTAACTTGGAATGGATAAGGAAGCAGGATGCATAAAAATCTGACATACCATTTCCGGTTTGGGAGTGTTGATGTGTGCCATTGTTAAACGTCACAAGCAATGAAAGTCTTGGTGGAAATGTTTAAGGAAAAGCTGTAGTGGCTGGGGAAAAATGGGTTAATGAATTGTCTCACTTTGTACTGGAATTACTAGGAAGGAGAAAAGTGTAAAATACAATGGTTTAGAGCTTTTGGTGAGAATGAGTTCTTCACTATATGACTTAAATTGCCCTGGGTTACTAGTAGTCAGATATTACTGTATAATGAATTTAAATAAAATTCACAGTTCAATCTTTCACACTTTAATTAAACATGGACAAAGTCTAGTCCTACTAACCAGAGTAGAGAAAAAGAAATTCAGCCAGTTTTTCAGAATCAGATCAAATAGAAATAGCACATATAGCACAGTAATTAAAAATTTGTTCTTTTGAGTTTTAGGCAAAGCCACTTATATCTCTCTCTTTAAAAAAAAAAAGGAAAAAAAAACACAGTGTGAGGTCTGCTGAAGAATAGCCTCCTCTGTCCTTTGCTGATTTGATTACCAAGTAGAATTGTTATTATTTTATTTTTTTAAATTCACTTTTGTGGATTGCCATTGATTTGAAATGCTTAAAAAATTAAATAAGCCATGATATGTTCATTGAATAGATTCCTGTGAATATATTAAAAATGTGAAAATATACACAAACTTAATGTACGTGAAGAGCTGCTCATTATTAATTTTTGAATCTTTAAAAAACAGGTTTTAAAGTAGCATTT